CAACTTCCATGATATACGCTTTTTTTAACTGTGTATCGTTTCTAAAAAATAAAATCGACGATATGTCTCGTATGATTTCTGGAGTTTTGTAAGCTGAAAACAGTGTTGAAAACCGTGTTCTGAAATTTTATTTAATAATTGAGATATTGATTTTTAAAAATACGTTATGCAAAAATTTCCCTAAAATTAAAAAAATAATATGATCACAAGCTGTTTTTAACAAAATTGCCCTTGCGTTATATAAAGAAAGTTATGGACAACATATATTTAAAATTTGAAAACTATAGATCTGTTAATAACGGAGATATTACATTTTGAAAATAGAGCGAAAATTCCGCTGAGAAAACGTGGGGACTGGCCTTAAGGGGAGGGGACGAAGTAGCGACATCTAAAGCACTTTATTATACTTATACTATTAATATAGTGCTTTAGCGACATCTGTGACGTCAGTGGAGGAATCGAGTACTCTCGTCTCTTATCGGGACTGAACGGCACCCCGAATCGAATCGTCTCACGTCTCTGCCTATCCGCATCAAATGTCAAATATCAAATACAAACCGTTGACCGATACTGTTTTGTATTCGGAAATACAGCCATTATTTTTGCTTGGTGTACTTTTCCGTTATGAAATATTGGAATAATGGGAAATATTTAAGGATAGCCGGTTTTATTATATAAATATATTTAATTTATTCGTTTTAAGTTATAGAGATTATCGCAAAAATATTAAATTTTATAATTTTTAGAGAAGCGGGATTTAATTTCAGTGGATTGTATTGCAGGAGTGAGGGAAGTCTTGTCGAAATAACGTTCGACCAATTCTTTGTATTTGCAATATTCTTTTGTCACTACAAAGATTCACTACCATAAAACAAAAATTAACCTATGCAGAAAAGTTAACAAGCTTTTTTCGCTTTTAAATTGTTATATATAACTACAATAAACCACATAACCAAATAACGACAAATAAAGAACAGGTTATTATTTGTGGTTATTACTTCCCGAGCGTAAGCAAAGGAAGTATTGTAATCGAGTCCGTCGGCCGACTCTCTACTTTTACGTTTTCTCGATCTTTCATGACCCCTAGAAGACGAAGAAATAGGTCTCCCATTTCCGTCTGTCTGTCCGTCCGTCTGTCCGTCTGTCCGTCTGTCCGTCTGTCTGCCGTCCCGGATTTTTATTAGACAGATAATCTCCGAAAGTACTGGACCGATTGTTGTGAAATTTTGTAGTTATATTAGGAATATCATGTAGATGGTAAAACGCTAACCAAAATTTGTCTAATCATCCCCACCACTAATGTGATGACGTCACTTCAAAATTGTACATAGTAAATGGGTTTTAAATTGTATAAAATAATATAGTCCTAAACATGTAGTTTACGACTCCGAATTGAGTTTTTACCCGAAACGTCCAGCTTTTTGGAAAAAAAATCAAAATTATAAAACAACATTTTGCAATTTAATTTTGAATCTGCTAACCTGAATGTTTTGAAATGTTGCAGATGTTTTAAGGCTCTAAAGGGCATGATAAATCTTTAGTCAAAGTATATTTGGCTATCCCCTCCAAAAACTTGATGACGTCAGCTCAAAAGTTTGCCGAATAAATCCTATCTAAAATGTACAAAATATGATGCGTTTGTACTTGTGATATATCACTCCATTCATATTTTTTGGATTTGCATATACAGGGTGACTCAAAAAGATTAATGAATGCATGAATTTATTTTATTGGTTTAATCAGGATTTACAGAACCGAATGCTTTGAAATCTTGGAGATGTTTTAAAGTTATTATAAGCATGGTAAATTTTTTATCAAAATGTATTTGCTCATCCCCCCTAAAAAATTGATGACGTCACCCCAAAATTTTGCTGAATAAATCCTATCTAAAATGTACAAAATATGATGAGTCTGTACTTGTGAATTATCATTCCATTCATATGTTTGGATTTGCATATGCAGGGTGACTCAAAAAAATTAATGAATGCGTGAATTTATTTAATCGATTTAATCAGGAATTATAAAACCGAATGCTTTGAAATCTTGGAGATATTTTAAAGTTATTATAAGCATGGTAAACTTTTGTTCAAAATCTATTTGTTCATCCCTCCTAAAAAAATTGATGACGTCACCCTTAAATTTTGCTGAATAAATCCTATCTAAAATGCAAAAAAGATGATTAGTTTGTACTTGTGATTTATCATTCCATTCATATTTTTTAGATTTTCTTAAGAGGTGGCTCAAAAAAATTAATGAAGTCAATTTATTTTATTGATTAAATTAAAGGCAACACTTATTATTAGTATTACATTGGACCAACCCAATTTGGTAGACACAAAATTTTTTAAAGTAAAAACTCGGTTGAAACATAAGGGTAACACGCTTATTTACATCTACTTTAACATTACAGACGTGCATTTGTTTTGTGCGCTGAAAAGCTTCCGCGAATGTGGTATAAACATGTTTATAATCAACCAGTTGTGAATTCCACCGTCAAAAATTAAAATAAAACTCAATGTTTTATATAATAAGCGGAAGTCGAAGCAATAAAACCGATGGTCGTTTTGTTTACAGTTTCTCTGTTTGACTCTCACGTATGCTGTTACGCTTGTCATCTTAAATTAAGAATGCTTATACATACACGATTTTCAGTTCCCTCTCATATTACACGCCGGCGCCGTATACGTGAGTAAATTGTTTCGTTATTTTATTGATTATAACAAATCAATATTCAAAACGACCCAATTCATTTTCCCGAAAATTTGGGAATACAATAATTTTATTTTTTATTTTAGTCGGCTTATCCGACCGGTCGGCCACTAGTCGGTACATCCCTAATAAATAAACATACGGGTTTCATTGTGCTGTGAATAAACTGAGCTGTGTTTATAAAAAAAAAATAGGAGGAAATTACAATAACTTTCAGATATCGACATTTCAGTGTTTTCAAATAGAACACCTGGTATTTTCTTAGTGCCTAATGCATATTATTTTGCTTTTGTTCTACGTTAAAAGTTGATAATTATTGAGATTATTTACTTTACTTTCTTAAGGAACACACCGACAAATAGAGTAAAATACAGTAATAAAATACAGGCTATTCTGTTCTGTGTATTAACATTGTATTTAACTGATACCACAACAAAGTGCATGCCTCTGTTTATATCTCTATAAAAAACTGTAACATAGATCCTAAAAACTTGAAGAATATTAAATAGAAATATAAAAATTTAAAAGTACTAGGTTGTTCACGAGATGCTCCACGCCTAAAAAATTCAAAACGCAACCAGAAATACAACTTCAAAACCAACTTAGATATTCGTACCATTTTTAAAAGAAAGTAAAACATAGTTGTCTGTTTTGTGTAACAACATTGACGTAGTGTCAGATACTATCATGTTAAAACTGACATTTTGTCAGAATGAATGCAGAGTGTGTTCAAACAACGAAAACACTGATGTGACATAAATATATGGTTGTGTAATAGAATATTATACGTACGGGAGATTCCCGACGAGCTCTTGTTTAGAATTTGTTTGTTTTTAATTTTAACTTAATAACAGACGTTTATTTTCCAATTATTGAAACCCAACAGCTAACAGCGTTTAATTTACGACAGAAATTATAGTAAATATTAAAGACTGTTATAAAATTGTATTATTGTTTCCATTTTGAATTTTTCGGGCGTGGAGCTGCTGGTAAATAGTCGTGTATAATGTTACAGTAAAGCTAAAGAAGCGTGCTACGCGTTTGTTTCAAGTGAGGTTTTCTATTACAAAATTTAGGGATGACGGTATGAACATTTTTGCATGGAAGCGGATATCGATCTGAATAGATGCAGTGTAATACTAATAATAACAGTACTGTAATCCTAAGTTTTCAGGAAAATGGAGTGAGTCGTTCGTGATTTCATAATTGCCCCATTCATTATTTATTTGAGTCATGCTGCATAAGTATAGAGAGTCATAATATTTCACACAGATATTTCAAAAATGATTTATCCGGCAAAATTTTGAGATACGTCATCCATTTTGCGGGAGAATATAAAGGAATACATTTTTTTTTAACGATAACCTTAAAACGTTTGCAAGATTTCAGAGCATTCGGTTTCGCAGTTTCAAAGAAAAAATCTGGATGTCTAAGGTGAAAACTCAACACGGATTCATAGACCACAATGACGTCATCCAATTGGTGGTAGAAATGATTAGCATTTTACGCTAATCTACATGATAGTCCTAATATGCATACAACATTTGAGAACAATCGGTCCAGTAGTTTCGGAGATTATCGGTTTAATAAAAACAAACACAGATAGACAGATCCGGAAAAAGGAGACTACTTCCTTAGTTTACGCTCAGAAAGTAAAAAGGGACAAGTCAGTCCGAAAAACTGACAATCAGTCCAAAAATGTAAGTTTGACATTTCACTACGAAAAATTGACATTTCATGGACGGGAGTAAAACGACTACAAGCGGCGCGCGCCATAACTCGTTGAATATTTTCTTTTCTGTAATAATTATTATTAATAAATATTAATAAATACAACAGATTACCGATGTAGTATTCTCGAGATTTTTGAACAAAATTGAATCTTGTCAATCTTAACATACTTCTTCAGTTATCGTAATTAATAATTTCTGATATGTAATGTACAGATTGAGTTTGTAACGAAAGTAAATTGTTCGAACATAATTGCTCCATTCCGGCGCACGCGCGAGTGAGCGGAAGTAGTACGCTACTGAACGTACAAGGTGCATGAGTGAACGGGTTTTGCTCTCGCGTGTTCCTCGTTGTGCTTCTCAAAATCAGGCTACCAAGAACCAGGGGCCCCTGTCACCTACAGCAGGATACTCCAGGTTAGTGGTACTTCTGAGTTATTCTCGGTCCTTCGCGCAAAGTTAATTCACGGCACCCCGCGTGCACATTGGTCCTAATCGGAGCCGGATCATAACCTCACATTTATCGGTTTCTCGGTCGACGCTTTATCGCGTATCGCCGCAATGACTAACGAAGAAGTGTTGCAATCTCAAATTAAGAAGCTCACCGTACTGAAATCTACACGGGAAAAGTTATTTGCTCAAGTTCAAAACTGTTATGACTCCGTGAAGAGAACCACCGTTGATACAGCTCTTCAGTTCAAGCCTCGGTACGAAAAACTAGAGGTTATTGAGATAGAAATGGATAAGACTCAGAATGCAATTATTCAGCTAAATGCAGATTTATTGGATAATCGCCATGCTCTCGAAGTCTGTAAGGTGCAAACAGCTTTCGATGATTTAGTATTTAACACACGTGGTCGTTATTTAGACCTGGTGAAGACACAACCTCCGCAGCAAATCAGCAGTAATTCGGTCGCCAACAGCAACCAGCATTTGCCCAGAATAAATATCCCTACGTTCACCGGTCGCATCGAAGAATGGTCGGCGTTTTTCTCACTGTTCGATTCGGTTGTCCACAAAAACGATGCGTTATCAGAAGCTGAAAAATTCCAGTATTTGCGCTCTTATCTGCGAGATGACGCATTAACAGTCATTGCCAATTTTCATTTAACCCCCGAAAATTACGCACTGGCGTATGAGGCATTGCAACTTCGCTACCAGAATAAAAGACGGTTGGCGACTCACTACGTCAATCAAATTCTAGGTTTTACTCCTTTATCATCCCCAAGTTCTAGCAGTTTGAGACATTTTTTGAATATTCATTCGAATTCCATTAATGCTCTTAAGGCTTTGAATCTTCAAGACCTTGGTGATTTTTTGCTGTTTCAATTATCGTTTGCAAATTTGGATCCTGTATCTAGAAAAGCTTTTGAGAATAGGCAAAGTTCAAATTCCGTTCCCAGCTATCAGGCGTTAATTGATTTCATAACGGATCAGAATCGAACGTACGAACTTCTCTCTCAGGACACAAAATCACCGAAATGTAAATCTCTATCAGTTAAGTCATTCCGTGCTTCACTCATGACAAATGCCAAATCCGATGCCTCCTCTACGTGCTCTGTCCCGTGCGCGCTCTGCAAAGGTTCACATCCCTTTCCGGCATGCAGCGAATTTCTCCAGAAAACAAATGAACAGAAATATGATACGTTGAAGAGATTGAGACGATGTTTCAACTGTTTGGGTGCTCATAATCGAAATGAATGTCAATCTCGTAAAACTTGTCGTATTTGTCACAGCAACAAGCATCACTCCGTGTTACACCAGGAGTCCAAGGCGGATACCTCCGAAACTAGTACCTACTTCTCCCTCTGTAGAGGAAAGAAAATCTCCCGTTGTGTTTTCGTGCAAGACCTCAGCGGAGCGCAACACTGTTTTACTAGCGACTGTGACAGCCCAGATCCAAGACTGTAATGGAGATTATCACAAGATAAGAGCTGTGGTTGATCCCGGCTCTCAAGTATCAGTGATTACTTCATCAACGGCGCAACATTTGGGATTAAAAAGAAGCAGATCTCCCATTGAAGTTACTGGCATCGCCAGTTTTCCTGTCCGAACTCAAGGTCTCATTCGTACCACTCTACGCTCTAGAACTCGTGCTGATGTCGTAAACGTTCACGCTGTTGTACTTTCGGATATTCCTAATAAATTTCCTAGTCAGACGTTACCTCCTCACATTAAGGATCAGTTCAGTCATCTAACGTTAGCTGATGAAAACTTCCATCAAGCTGCTCGAGTTGAATTCTTAATTGGAGCAGATCTATATCCTCACATTTTATGTAATACGCAGCCTAATGTTATTCAAGGACAACCCTCTGCCATTGACACAATCTTTGGATGGATAATTATAGGCTCGATTTCATCTTCAACAAATTCCCCCTTGTGTTCTCTTCTCACATGCAACGATTCTCTTGATGATACCGTTCGTAAGTTTTGGGAAACTGAGACTCTCGCTGATAACCTTTCAGTCTCCAATCCTGAAGATGACTTTTGTCAAGCTCATTTCAAGGACACGCATTATCGCGATCGCTCAGGCAGATATGTGGTATCAATGCCAGTCCGTGAGCAGCGCTCGCCGCTTCTCAGCAACCGAGAGACAACTCTGAACACTTATCTCAAAATGGAAGCTCGAATGTCTCGGCGTCCCCAACTCAACGCTGCTTATATTACTTTTCTCCAAGAATACCGCGATCTCGGACATATGCAACTAGCCGCACAACCTTCCATGTACGTAATGCCTCATCATTGTGTTCAAAAGGAAACTAGTTCAACTACCAAAGTGCGAGTTGTGTTTAACGGATCCTCCTCTGACTCAAACGGGACAACGCTTAATCAGCAACTTCTGCCCGGTCCTAAGCTACAAAAGGATTTGAGCCACATTCTCATGAATTTTCGCCTTCATGCTATAGCAGTCACAGCGGATATTCAACAGATGTATAGACAGATTTGGTTGAATCCAAAGCAACGTTATCTCCAGCACATATTCTGGAGGCCAGATCCCGCTTCTAATGTGCAGGAGTATGAGTTAAAAACAGTGACATATGGCTTAGCACCATCAGCATATCTTGCTCAACGTGTCCTTCTCCAGCTCGTCGAGGACGAAGGGCATGAGTTCCCATTGGCAGTACAAGCTATCACAGAAAGCACCTATGTGGACGATATTGCGCATGGTGCCTCTACAGTTGAGGAAGCGAAGTCGCTACAGTTACAACTCGCAAACCTACTCAATCGTGGCGGTTTCCAGCTGAGAAAATGGGCTAGTAATGATCCAATTGCTCTAGATCATGTTCCAGAACAGCATCGTGAATCTCCGTTGAATTTCTCAAGTGACGATCCTTCTATTAAGATTCTTGGATTACGGTGGGATCCTCGGTCTGATACTTTCACCTATTATGTACAAGAATTTGATTCTCAAGTTACCAAGCGCACTGTTCTTTCTTATATCGCTCGAATCTTTGATCCCATGGGGTGGTTATCTCCAATTGTATTTTGGGCTAAGCATTTTCTGCAACAGATATGGATCTCTAAAGTGGGCTATGATGATATCTTGCCGCCTTCCCTATCGGAGGCTTGGGGAAGGTTTTCTTCTCAAATGCGGTGTCTACGCGCATTTAAAATTCCTCGATACATTCTCCAAAGTTTGCCACGTTTGCTCTTGGTGGGATTCTCGGACGCTTCCTCTAAAGGATACTCCGCTTGCATCTATTTACATGCGTATGATTCCAGTAGCACTTGTAGCAATTATCTTTTGAAGGCCAAGAACAAAGTGGCACCCCTCAAGACATTGACTATTCCTCGATTGGAACTCTGTGGAGCGTTGTTATTATCTAGACTACTTCGTGATGTGATTAAATCTCTTAAAGCCGTAAGATTTGAAAATGTTCATCTCTATACCGATTCTCAGATTGTCCTTGCATGGCTCCACACCTCTCCTCATCTTCTCAAAACCTACGTGGCCAATCGTGTAGTTCGCACATTAGAGCATACATCTCTTCACCAATGGGCACACACAGTGTCGAATCAAAATTCAGCCGACTTTGCGTCTCGAGGATTATTTCCCGAAGAGATCATGGATTGTCATTCCTGGTGGAATGGACCAGATTTTATGCAGAATCCGCCGTCCAAGTGGCCCGTAAGAGGCGATAATTATGTCGCCCCCGTTGAGCTCCCTGAGCGTAAAAACGATCCTATAGTTTTGCGCATCCAAGCCGACCCAGAAAATCCTCTGTATGAAGTTGTGTCACGATTTTCTTCATTTAGTAGACTACAACGCGCTTTCGCATTTATTCGCCGATGGCTACTCCGAATAAGATGTCCCGAGATGAAGGGTCCACTCTCAAGCGAAGAGATGCGATACTCGACCTTATCGCTTGTGCGTCTCACACAGCAAAACCATTTTCCTCTGCTTATAGAAGAGTTGCGTTCCAAAGGTCACACCACAACTCCATTAAGGAAGCTGTTCCCATTCTTGGATGCAATGGGTATAGTTAGGGTGGGCGGACGGCTACGACACTCCGCCCTTCCCCTAGATGCGAAACACCCTCTGCTTTTACCTCAGAAAGCTCATCTCTCGGCTTTAATTTGCGACTACTATCATCTGTACGCTTGCCACGCTGGACCTAGAAGCGTGCAGACGCTTATACAGCAGAAGTTCTGGATAATATCGATTCGATCCCTCCTACGGCAGCGCATTTTTCGCTGCATTCGCTGTTTTAAGTTTAAATCGAAACCTGTATTTCCCTTCATGGCTGATCTACCACCAGCTCGAGTTCAACCTAGCAAACCGTTTTCCTCTGTTGGCATTGACTTTGCCGGACCCTTCACCGTCAGGGAAAGTCGTCGACGTAAGGCCCACACATACAAAGGGTATCTCTGTTTATTCATATGTATGTCTACGAAAGCGGTCCATTTAGAAATGGTCTCGGAACTCTCCACGAAAGCCTTTTAGCCTCGCTCAACAGATTCACCGCACGCCGTGGTCTACCCTCTGACATATACTCTGATTGCGGACGTAACTTTATCGGCGCCGCTCGCCACCTGAGGGAGGTGAGTCAGTTTCTACGTTCGCACTCCTCTGAGATAACGAGTTCCTTAACTTCTTTGGAGATAAAATGGCATTTTAACCCTCCAGCCGCTCCCAATTTTGGCGGCCTATGGGAGGCTGCGATCAAATCCGCAAAGAGTCTCTTGTATCGATCAATCGGCACCTCTCTCTTAACTTTCGAAGAGTACAGCACGCTATTTTGTAAGATTGAGGCTGTATTGAACAGCCGTCCCTTATGTGCCGTCACCTCTAACCCAGAAGACGCTGTAGATTACCTAAGCCCTGGACATTTCTTAGTCGGCAGACCGTTATTGCAACCTCCTGAAGCTCCCTTGGAGGACAACTTGAATTGGACCTGTCGGTGGCAACTACTCTCCCAGCTGTATCAGCGGTTCTGGAAGAGGTGGTCTACGGAGTATCTCCATACTCAACTCCAACGTCAGAAGTGGAATAAGGATCAACCAAACATTCAACCCGGCGCCATTGTCGCATTGTATGGCGCAGAAACTACCCCCCTTTCATGGCCGTTAGGACGCGTACAAGAGGTACATCCTGGAACCGATGGAGTCGTCCGTGTGGCCACAGTGAAAACCGCGACCGGTTTATATACGCGTCCGGTAAACAAGCTCGTGATTCTCCCAACCCAATTCTCAATGGAGAATTGAGTGAACTCTCATAATGTACATAAGGAACTCTCTTTAATTTTCGTTTAATTTTTCGTTAAATTTTGTTAAAATTTGGTGGGCGGTTATGTTCGAACATAATTGCTCCATTCCGGCGCACGCGCGAGTGAGCGGAAGTAGTACGCTACTGAACGTACAAGGTGCATGAGTGAACGGGTTTTGCTCTCGCGTGTTCCTCGTTGTGCTTCTCAAAATCAGGCTACCAAGAACCAGGGGCCCCTGTCACCTACAGCAGGATACTCCAGGTTAGTGGTACTTCTCAGTTATTCTCGGTCCTTCGCGCAAAGTTAATTCACGGCACCCCGCGTGCACATAAATATTTTTCTAATGATAATTAATATTAAGACCCACCACTGACCCGGAAATAACCGGCATTCAGACAAGACTTCTATCATTACGGGTACTAAGACCAAGTAATGATATGCATTGATTAGATTAACAAAACAACTTTCGAGATTCTAAAATTACAGCAAACAAATTAGTCTGCTATTATTCTCTAATCTCACCCCATCCCCAAAAGTCTAGCGTAACTACCGACCATTTATCCGCGTATCACTTGGAAAGTGACCTACACTACTCTGACCTACTGGTGCTAATCTAATCTGACTGACATGATCAGACTGTTCGAGAAACTTACAAACAATATGACATGTTCCTAACAAAACAGCTTTTTGAATTTTGACAATTATTGAATCATTCAAATGCAAAGACTTTAAATTCTCAACTAAGCTATTTGGAACTACACCTACATTGGTGATAACTAGGGGTAGAATTGAATTTTTTTTAAGATTCAACATGGATTTCATTTCTATCGATAATTGTAGATATTTTGAAATCTTGGTGTGGTATCTTTGAATAATATTGTTTGTGTTAGGAATAGCAATGTCAATGAGAATGGCTTCGTTCGTGTGTTTTTTGATAAGTATGATGTCTGGTCTGTTAGCTGTAATGTTTGAGTCTGTAAGTATTGTGCGATCCCAGTATAATTTGTATTTGTTATTTTCAAGGAACGGAGATGGAATGTAAGTGTTATAAGGTGTCGTATCTTCGATTAAGTTCATAAGTGTTGCTAATTCTTTGTGAATGATTTTGGCGGCGTTGTCGTGTCTAGCTTTGTAGTCAGTTTGTGCTAGGATGCTGCAGGAAGAGATTATGTGCTGGATCGTTTCAGGTTTTGCTTTGCAGAGGCGACAGCAGTCGTTTCTTATGTTCGGATCTTTGATGATGTATTTTCTGTAATTCTTGGTGTTGATTACTTTTTCAGCGGTTTTTGAATTTTGTGGGCATGTCTCAATTTTGGTGGAATGTTTAGGTTATCAAAAACCCTTAGATATTTTTTTGTATTATCTTTTCATGTTTTACAAAATGACGAATTATGAATAAAAAGGTTATACATATTTTTTAAATATCATATAAAATAGAATTTTCTTGTAGAACAATATTTATGATTTTGTAACACAGACATAAATTTCCATGTTATTTCTAGAAAATAGCCCAGCATCTAACATAACTGACCTGTTCCAACATTATTTAATTTGCTATGAATTTTATTCCAGACTATATATCTTCATTTTTCACTTTTGTAGTATTTTTAATCTTTTTTAAGTTTTTCTACAACTTCTCCCTTAAAATTGTCAAGTTTTCGGAAAGGTAGTAAGTCTTGTAATAATACCTAGACCTAGATATTCACGTTATCGCATCGTAATTGCTTATAATGATAAACTATAATTATTTATGTATGGGACAACTCTTCTTCGTTTTTATATACTATAAATCCCTCAGTAAATATGATTTTTCTTCCCTTTCTCTACAAGTCAATGATTCCTTTAATTCAAGTTAATGTCTCTTTATCAGCTTTCGTTCCCAAAAATTTGTTATAAAGGAAATAGTTTTATAGCCCATTTTTCCAGACGGAAACCTAGGATAATATTTCTTTTAGAAGTTTAAATTGTGCGTGTTTCCCCTACCCTATCACAAGGGACGCGAACAACCACCGGCATTTATCTCGTCGCGCTCGGTTATCTACCCTAAAAATAGTTAATATAAAATTTACGGCAACATTAACGTCTATAACCCAATTGCTTTAACGCTTTAGGTCTTTATTAAAATGAGGCGTGAACTATTAAGTTAAAAAGACAACAACTTTCACTTTTTAGCTTCCGCTCAATAAATGCGTACACAAGTTTTCGGAAGCAAATCAAACAAAAACGTTTGAAACTGTTTTCCTTTCAACCATGTAACCATATTTCCTTTTTGTATAAAGCAATCGATGAAGGATAAACAAATCGTTTTATTTAAAACAATCTAGCGGGGTGGTTCCTTTAACTCAACCGTACTATGCAAATACCAAAACGGGCAATTTGCATTTGATTTTGCATAATTGCGCAAAGAGCTGAAAGTGCGTAAAATCGACGATTTCTATCAGGATATGGACAACATATTAAAACTAAAGCTCTGTTCATGTTTAAACTGCATTTATTGGCACTTAACATGATGGTGTGTGTTACGTTTCTGGGAATTTCATCTTCGTAATAAAATGTACTCACAGTGTGGCCTCCAATCATGGCAGTTATGTTCGCGGATTTCAGGAAGTGTACTAGTGTTTGTATTCGCAGAAGATTTTCTTGGTATATAGACAAGCAAACCTATATTTGCTACTCTCTTTTTTAATGTTGAAGCTTTTTAACAGGGCGGTGAATGTAGTTAAACAATTATTAATTCCTTTGAAGCGCGATTATAAGATATGTGAGAAAACATGAAAATAACTGTATGTGCATTCTCAAGAAAATAGTAACGACTATGTCACATGCGGAGAAATGCTTTCTAAAACTGTCTAAATTTTCAACCCACTTTCTCAATTTCAACACAATAAATTCGTTTAACCGAAACAGCACAACAGAATTCTCTTGCAGAACTTTGCAGAATACATCCAATAAAGTAGAAACTTGGCGTTTAAATTTAAATCTAACAGTCGAAGTTTATTGAATTAAATTAAAGTCAGCTCACATACTCATTTTCTTTTTAGGGTAAGTGACGTTCACATAAATAGCGTTTTCTAGTTTTACGAAAGATAAATTAACTTGATATTTCGACGCGCTGTGCACTCATTTGCATAATACTGTGATTGACGGTTGTTAAATTATAGGCGTCGTTAACTCAACAATGTTGTTAATAGCAACCTCTAGAAATAATATTCTAATCGTATAATCTTGAAATTTTATGCTTTTTATTTTAACGATAAACTTTACTCACATTTTGATGTTGTGGGGTGCTGCATGTAATTGCAGTAAATGACGTACTACTAGAGCAAGTGTAAATAATCGCTGGTAAACACGGAAAATCATACTAGTTACATACTGGCTGCAGTATAAATAATTATTTCGTGCTCAGCATACAATGTGTACATATGAAAATTAGGTTACTGTATAAATGGATTAGACAAAGACAGAATCCTTCGTTATAAAGAGGATTAGAAATTATGTTTTTTTGGATTGACTGGCTAGATTAGACATTAGATATCTTTTTCTATAAGGCAAAACTTCTTATTCTTTTCTATGTACGAAAGTTTGTCACCCATATTTTTATTACTTCAGCTGTCGAAACTTACTTAACTTACGAAAGTTTTATACTTCTGAAGTTAATTATTCAAGTTAGTATTTTTTTATAAATTCTTGACAATACGCTATATATATATATATATATATATATATTAGTAGTATTAATTTTTTAACAATAATTTGGAGGTGTATGCAAATTTTTCTAACTTCTTTCTAGTTTTCAGTTTCTAATTTTTTCAGGCTTCCACTAAAACAACAAAAAGGAGGGACACAACACAAAGTCGAAATCTTTACATAACAAATTATTTTTATAATCCCGCCAATTTTAACAAATATTCATTCAAACTCAAACTGGTTTCTTCTCCCCTGTTCACACATTTGTCAGGATCTCCATCAACACTGGCAGATTGACGCCGATATTGGCAACGAGTAATAACGACATACTTGCTATTGATTTGCCGTAAGCCAATCCATTATTAAAATGTAAGTACGTTTTAGATTTGGCGAAAAAGCCATTACGAACATCCCACGTTGGCGAGCGGTTAAGCAGAGGAGTTTCCCAGATTAAGGGCGTTTCTCTCTGGGATGTTCACTGGTTTATTACAGTCACACTTTCCGATTGTTTCAAGAGATCCGAACTTTGTTCCGTTCGAATTTTAAATGTTGTCTTTGGTCGAAACCCGTCACAAAGGTCATTTTCCTCACGTCGTAAAATGTTTTTCTGATCCGTTAAAAGATGGCCGAAGAGTGAGCTTTTTCGTATAGCACCAATTCAATTTTCTTTGACTCGGTATCGTCATGAAGTTTCACACAGTTTTGGGGCAAAAAATTTAATCAAGAACTTGAAAACACTTTTTTATCATATCTGCACATTTACAATCGCTCGGTTTACAAAACACTGCCACCTAATAATATTCAACAATTTGCATTAAATTGAATTAGGGGTCTCGGAAAAATGGGACGCCGAGAGATGCGGGGCACAGTGTGGCAGCGGAAGAACTCAAGATTTCAAAACGGCAAAAACTATTCATTCTTGTTTAAGTTTAAAAAACGCACCTGGGACTAATGTATTATATAGAAGCGCCTGAACTTCACTAAATAAATAATGCCCAACAATTTTTTCGTTAAAATTTACTTGCACCGTAGGGATTTTCTCTCACACGGCGAGGACACTAAAGATAATAGATAAAAACTACTCTTCTCGAGTCGCATTAATTATACATCGCTTAAAATATTGGTTGCTCAAGTAATTGCATCAAGTGAGGTAGCTTGAGAACCTGTGCAAACAGCCAACAAAATTCAGTTTCGATCATCGCATCCACTGTAATTACCATTAAGGAAACTACAAAAAATACTTAGTACCAATATCGGTGCTATGGATGCAAGACGGCTAATTTTTAAGGTTTAATTTTCAGCTTAAATACT